ACATTTAACGCTCGCGATTTTGTCGTTTTCTTCCCCAGCGGGTTTCGTGACATCGCGAACTGTGTCAAGTTCTTCGACGAAGTGTGCCAGCAGCGCTGAGTGTTGCAAAACCATCGCCTTTTGCAATCCACTCTCTAAGGATGGCAGTCTTATCGAAACAACGCGTTTTCCGTTCATGACTCACCTAACTACTTAACAAATTCTAATTGTACGACATGCCCATTACCAAGAATGTCGGAAAAATCTGGTTAACTAAACGAGTTCTACATCAAACTTACGTTTTACTCTTCGCGGAAAAAATTCTATTAAATATGGCCTGTGCTAATAAGTAAAGGTTACTGGTGTAGAATGTAGTGTAATAAATCAGTCGAATTATTGAGATTTTATGGAAATTATCTGTGTGTACTGTGAGCTGGTGGAGCTTTAGACTGATTTTATTTTGCTCGCTGCTTTTCCCCGAATCCTTAAAAAATCAATCAAACAAATGACTCACAGTTCTTCACCACAAAATTATTATGTATAGATAAATATAAATAATTACTCATTGCTCCTGAATATTTGTCTGAACGACGGAATACAGAGACGGGACGGAACATAGACCGTAGTAAACAAATTAAACTAGCAGCGAGTGGTTTTTCCGAAAACAACCGATCGCTATTACCTTTTTCCCAACAATTTTCCGAGAATTCTATTCCCGGAGAACTCTTAATATGTGTTTTGCAGCCTAATACTAATTACTTCGCTGTCAGGATAAACATCGGGCGAAATTAATAATCGAGCGTTGATAATTCGGTTGGTATCAATAAACGATACGAGCGAGGAGCGATTGTGTCCCGAACGTCGCAATAGTTGGGGGCCAATCAGATTTTTACGGTGAAAACGCAATTAATTCGTGAGTACCTTTGGATCGGACAAACAGAAGCGTAATAAACTTCGGAAATTGATGGATTTTGGCGCTTACAGATGTCTATCCTCGACTTAATGTTATCTTGGAGAATCGTTTGGATCGTAAACGTATTTAAAAAAAATGTTGCGTAAGTTTTGGGAAGGTCATTGACTGCTGACGCTTTGAAAACCAAACCCTATTTTGTAATTGTAGAACTGTCAGTTTCAATAATCTGTTCAAGTCCCCACTGTGTTGTTGTTTATCAATTTAGATCCCGTTATAACCTAGATTTTAACAAAATTTCAGTTTTTTTGGTCTGTAAAAACAAAGCTTCCATGTGAAAGAACGCAATCAGTTCCCATAATCATCCTCATAACAATGTTATTAAAGAATTCCTGGTATTTAACGACTATTCCCTCATATTGATTTTCTAGGAATTCTCAGACCTTTTTGGAGGTTAGTATCTCACGTCAGTCTACAGTCTGGGAATTTTTAAATAATTTATAGCCATCCGAGAACGTCAGTGATAACTTACTGAGTCTGCAACTTATAAACAAACCGAACGGTACCGGATTTTCGTTAAACTAACTCTTTTTTTTGTCTGCGGGAATACCAAGCTAAAGATCTTACGTCCGTTTCTGTACGCGTTTGCGTCTCTGTCGCGATTCCAGTAGATCTAGTGATCCGCATCTTATCGATCCGTCCCCGTTTGACATTGAACTTATGTTTGCTATCGAGCGTTGTCTTAGTAACTGATAAATCAACGCCGCATTCCACTTATGTTTTATTAATGACCTCGCAGTACAAGAGTCTCAAGAGTCAAGGATTGGGTTCACCTAGATTCGCCGTTCGAATATCGCCAACTGATTAGGGGAGAGCACCTTTGGAACTATTTCAACTGTTCCTACGCCAGCGACATGACACAAAAAATCTGTTGGATTTAAATATGGTCGATGCGGCGGCCAAAGACAATATTTTTAAGTACGTTTTAACGAATTTACGCCTTTGTAGTATATTAAACAACAAATATAGAAAAGCAAAGCATTTTGTGTTAGTAGTAGTAAGCAAATAGTGATAGATATAAATGCATTACAGTTAGAAATTAAAAAATTCCATAGTAAGTACTTATGTAGGATTTCCGTAACTTTTTAACACCCTGTATCTTGAACCCGAAGCATGTGCGGGGGGGGGAAGGGGGGTGGCAGCTGCCCCCCTAGAAATTCGAAAAAAGCACAAAAATTTTCTCAAGGAAATATTAGATTGGAAATTTTTAATAAAATATTTTATTTACTTAAACTTTAATTTTGAAAATTAATACTTTACTCTATTTTTTTAAGAAACAATTGTAATGAATTAGTATAAATATTTGTTTACAAAAGAATTTAAAAATAGAACATTTTATGTTAAAAAGTAATTTTAAAAATTTAGCTCTGGAATTTTAAATTTAAAAAAAAAAGAAGAATAAAAACCTGTCTGAGAAATACTATGATACAAAATCATCTCAATGGCCTAGCAATGATGAGTATACACGTAAAGCTTATTTTTGACAACCACGAAGATTTTATTATTAATTAAGTGGTCGACAAATTTTCAAAAAATCCGAGAAGATTATGTTTTACCTAATTTTCGTTGAATTTCTTTATTTTTTAGTTATTTATATTTTTTTGTTTTTTTTTTGTATTAAAAAGATTTTATTAAAAATATTTCTAAAAAAATGCATTCACTGTACCTATTTCTGCCTATAATTTATATTTCTCCCATCCTCTCTTATCTTGCACCCCCTAGCCCATTGGCTAGGGGGTGCAAGACAAGCTTATTCACGCACTATTCATGCACACTAATGGCTGATACTGTTCTACTCTACATCCCTCGTACGTTGTTGTGAAAAGAGCATTATCGAACCGTCCCTAACAGATATAAATAATGAGCGTGCAGCAAAAATCTCGTTTACAAATCCCGTGATAAATTTTGAAGCACCCACGAAATCGATTTTATGATTTAAATTGTTATTACCTGGGTCTATGTTTTCCATCGTTCCCGTAACGTATGAAAATCTTTCCCGGTTGGAATAATAAACAGAAATTTTATTAGGTAAATACCCCGTCAGTCGTTTTTTTTAGAAAAAAACACTCTCGCGCCTCAATCATCGTCCGAAGGAGGTAAGGCGATTTACAATAAATAATTCTGTAATATGAAAATCGAGCGTGTTTATTTATGTTCGGCGTGGAAATACCTCGTTATATGTGTGGATATTCTATTAAAAAACTGCACCTTTAGCGATTACCTCATCGTCGGTTAAAGCTAAAAATTTATTATTATGGTTTTTTTCGACTTAATTACTGGATCCGAATACCTGCGCATTTTCCAGATTCCGAAAATGTTTACACAACAGGTTGCCGTTCTAGAAAACGTTATCGATTTGAATTTTAATTACCAGTTTGTTTAATTCCCTGAATCATTTACGATTTCGAATAACACGCATATTTTGCTAAGACAGATAAAACACAAAACGGATTAATATTTATATTGATGGAAGTGGAACTTTTACGGAAATAATAACAGAGCAAGGCTTAAAAAATTTCGCGAATGTTTGGAGAACGACACTCCAGTGACGTCAAGGAACCCGAATATATTACTACATCAAAGCGGCTTGCCAGAAGCCACTTTTACGCAACCGATCACAAAAATATATCTTTTGTTTTGAAAACTTTACATCGAGAATGTCGTTGACGAGGTGTTTTAATTTATATACGCTTATTTATTATAACCAAATGGCCCCGTTGGAGCGTAAATATACGCCGGTGGCGTATTTCGGGAGGCGAGAAAGTGGATTTAGCAGCGGGAAACTGTATTTTCGGGTATTCGGTGGCGCAACGATGCTAATTCGAGTTGTCGGAATTGGGTTACTGGAAACTTTGTAAATCAGCTTTTATCGACGCATCTGCTCCTGTGTTTGGAGAGTGGATGTGTTTTCATTTGTCAAGATGGAGTAATTCGACCGATTACACTTACAAACCAGTGATGCCAGACGGGCAGTCCTGAGAATAACTAGATGTTAAGCAGAAATTCCCTAGTACATTTTATGAAGGTACATTACCACGTAAATTCGTAAGGAGATGGCCAAAAATGTCTAAGAACAAAGTTAAATAAAATAACCGACTGTCTTTCCAAACAAATCAAATTTATTAAGTTATGTTCCAAAAACACTAACTTTAATTCATTGATTTACTATATTTCCAAACATTTATTGTAGACTGTAATGCCCTGTTTTGCAGAGAAGCACAAAATCCTTAGATTTCATATAAAATTCCCTGGTTAGAGAAATTTAGAATGTTTTTCCCTTGAACTAGGGAAAAATTCCCAAATCTGGCATCACTGATACGAGCATAAAGTAGAGACATCAAGTAATATGATCAATCAATCAATTATTGCAACTGAAATTCTCCGAATATTTTTTTTCATTATTAATTATTATTAATTAATTATTAATTTGCAATTGTACACGAAAAAAAATCTATTATAAAAATTTACGAAACTGCAGCACTGCTCAGTATAATTTACAATTTGTCACACATTACCAATAAATTGTGTTTAAAATATATTCAATTTTACTACAATTTTGTTAAATATATTCACTTTCCATTTTGCTATTATAATATTTAATCCACATATACAGGGTGCCTGCGAAAGGTTGGGAAACATAGAAGCTGGAGATACTAGTGGCCAAAAATAAGTCGATTGAGCCAAATATGCCTTATACAAATGTTGTTGTTTGTTGTTTCAACGATTTTAAAATTTCTCAATAATTTTGATAAGTGTCAAACTGTGAATGACAAATAAGAATTTTTAACTAATTTTGGCGTTTCTTGTTTAAAACGTTGCACAGTTTTTAAAACTAGAACATCCTGAAACCATATACAGGCCATTCATTCTGAAGAACATCGGCAACGTTACTGGCTAATACAAGAGTTGACGTATTATCAATCAAGAGACATGATGGGCAGTAACAAAAGAGACATTTTCTGACAAAAACTGCACACCATGCTGATATCAACGTATCTACCATTTTTACACTTTATGTTTCTGTACCTAATACCGACATTTCCTTTTTCAGATGCACCGAACGAGAGCCTGTACATGATTGGAGGGGTATGCGTCGCTATGTTTATGGTGGGTGTCATCATCGTGTTGTTAGCAGTTACTATAAGGTAAATATTCTGTTATGATCGGAGGAAATCTTTAGATCTTACGTCAGGAGCTATTTTGAGGCCGTGTTTTTTGGATTTTCCTCGGGCGAGCGCAACAAACATAATTTCTCATCGAAGACTGTTATGTTTTTGGACATACGAACGGGCTCACAATCTATCATGATAGAAACGCGTGTTTTCTATTCGCGTTAAACAAATTCCCGTTAGGCTTATCGGTTGTTTCCGCAACCGCCACAGTACAGAAAAACCTTTGTGATAGCGCGGGAAGTGTTTCCTGCTGAGTTGATATCTCCAGACAAAAGAACCGCACACGAAACCGAGAAAATCGTTAGATTTATACAAGACCTAAACACAATTACTTGTGGATTAAAAAGATAAAGCCAAAAAGAAACTGTATTCTCAGAAAATCAAGAACAGTATGTGTAGCGTGTTATTTTGGAGACAAAGACAAATGTTAAATATAAAAATTATGAAAATCTTTATGAAGCTAAGAATCTAGATCAAACAAACGAACATCGCAAATACGTGAAAGTAAAGATGTGGCTAAAAAAACTTACATTATTCCACGAAGCTTTCGATTTTAAATGATGATAAATTTTTTTGAAACTTGACTTAGTTGTAGAAAAGCTGTGTCAAGTTATTTCGCAAACTTCCATTAATTGAAAAAATCGAAGAGACCGATCTAATTTTTAACCTGATTTTCGAGAAAATATTCATACGGAAAGTGATGTATCGATGTATTACTCAAATAAACATTTCCAATTATAAAATATTATGAAATATTTTCAATGAAATCACGTTCAAGTCTCGTGCGAATCGTCAAAGTAAATATTAACCAGTATCACAGCAGTGACAAATTTCCAGAATCGAGTGTTAACGCGAAAAAAAGATAATTAGCAATCACCTCACGCATCCTTGAGGTCGTATCCTGCGGCGAAATTATCGATAAAACGCCACTTTGGAAAGTCCACTTTTCCCCCGACCATAAAGATAAGAAATATTTATTCAAAACTTTGATCGCTGTAACCATTAGAATATTGTTATCCAATAGACACGCGATATCGAAGTGTTTGCTTGTCGTGCATTTTATAATCTCAGTTGTAGTAAACAGATCTCGTGAACACCGTTACGATTGCTCACGGAAAAACAATTTATATTTCATGTTTAGGAGCTTGCAGCAGTGGAAGTGGAGAATTCCAGTTTGTCCAACTAAAAATACAGCGAAATATCAGTGAAATTGTAGAAAATATCCACCAAACGGAAACCTTCTCCGTTCTCCTGTTGCTAGGAGCTATTGAAAGTTCTATTACATAAAAACTTTCACGTAGAAACTTGGAGGTTACATTATTCTACTGTTATTTAATGGTGTACAAATCGATGGTTAGAATTATGCGAAACGAACAGCTTGATTTTAATAAAGGTACTCTGATACGAGCGGAAAAGGAAGACCTTTGCTTTTTTTGTATAATAAATTTCAACGATCAACAAAACATGCATAAAACAATGTGTTTGTTTATAGAATTGGATTAAAAAGACATCAAAGCGAGAATTCCTGTTTGAAATGTCAGTTGCAAAACAACAAATTTCTAAAAAAAAAAATAAAAGACTAAAGCGGATTTTTTTCAGCGCCATTCGGATAAATCGTTTTTAATAAGACCATTATTAATAATTCTTGGAAGGATAAACGTGATAATTAACAATGTTAATTTATGTAAATCGAAAGCGACGTCCGTTTCAGTAAAACTATTTGGGAAAAACTTATTAAAAGGAGATGATTGAATTTCAAATAAACACTAATTTTTTTTTGCGTCATGCTTACCCCAAGAGTCAATTTACTGATATTAGCGCTACTCAGAAATATTAGGTAATTTATGTAAATTGCTCGAAACTAATTAACCAGAGTTATTTTAATTAAAGCGACAACTTCCTCATATACCAACTAACTAAAAAAAAATGCAATTATCGTGCGACCAGGGAATTTCTCAGTTTCGGTGCAGCGCCATTACCTACAATAGTCACATTATTCCCAGGACTAGATCTTTTTTTCCCCCCAGTTCTTGCACCTATAATTATTTAAAACCGAGCAGCGAGTGATTAAATTCCCATTACCTATTATTACAGGCTAATTGGACTATTTTTTCCGATCGTTAGGCGTGGGAATTATTTCGCGGTTCCAAGGCATCGCCGTGTTTCGCTCTTCGCGGTACTCGTTAGCTTTCCGACCTTCCGAAGCAAGTCGGATTGGTCGCTAATTGACTGTAAATTGCCGCAGCGGTACACAATAACCATTTTCTTTAACAACCCATTAAGCCGTTTGAGCAGATTAGAAATGGAAGATGATTACACGATTATTAAAGCCTCGAAGGTCGTATAGAGTAGTAGGTGGCTATGTATTCCGACATAGGAAAAACTTTTTATTTGGCAACTGATGAGGCACTGCCCTTTTTTTATAACAAATTCTTGTTTGTTCTTAAGCTCTTGCGAAGTGTATTTTTCACTTTTCTTTAAATAAATATGTTTGCTCACTTGTTAGTCTGTCCTTTGCGAAGTGATAGGTGAAAGTTGCGAAAGTTGTTAACCAGAGAAAGATAATTATAATATTGGTGTTTACTTAATTTATTTACATTTCCAATGGTGCGTTATATTACCTTTTACATGTATAAAAGTTTCAGATTCAAGGCAAATGTATTTTATTTTGCAAATATCGAGTAAGCACAATTCTATCAAAAGAGCAATCTACAAACTTTTACTCCAGGGAACGAAGAGAAAAATTGGGTAAAACCTCTATTTCAAACTGTAGGTGAAAAATTATATAGGCTTGATATGCGCTTCTTAATTTTAGGGGATAAAAACCACCCCGTACTAAAAAAACTGTATAAATATAAAAATAGGTGTTATATAAACTAAAATCATATCTTAATATATAGAATAAATATTGTTTTATATTGTGGGTTATAAGTTACATTATTTTTATAAAGTTTCAACCCTTAATGATAAAAATATAAAATTAATAGCTTCTTTGACCCTTTATATCGCATATATTATAGATAAAAATTTTGTCAATAGTTTTATGGTTTTTATAAATAATGTATTGCAATATTTCAACCCTTAAAAAACTACTCCTAATAACAAAATATTAAAAAAATATAGTTTTTAACAGGTTGAAATGATTTGATGATTCTTATACCTACCTGTTTATAATACAATTTATAATTTATCGCATTGTTTTAACCATTAAAAACCACACCCAATGACAAAAAATTAAAAAAATGTCTTTTCAATTATTTAAAATGAATTTTAATTTTTTTTTCGTAATAACTTTCTTTGTCGCGATTTACTTTAATTAGTGCAATATTCAAAATAATTATTTCTCAATATTTTTTTCACGCAGAAAGTCATAATTTCAAATTTTCAAATATGTATCTTATACTTATGAATACTCCAAAGTTGTGGATAACTAAAATATTGATATGCTCCGAAAATTGAAGCGGTAAGATACCGTTGGTTTTTAACGATAACTTCCTTAATTTTAAAGCTATTAAGACGATCCAAAAACGATTTTACGGAAAATTTCGACAGCTAAAAGTAGTGTAAATTTGAATATTTTTTAACGCGTTATTTTTGAGATTTTTGAGGTTGTTTGAAAAACATGACCTTCGCCCTCAACTGCAAACTTCTAGCAGCGACATCTCTATTAATGTTCACCCTACACAAATAAAAAATAAAACAAAATATTCTGTGAAAAAAAATCTAAACATTTGTACCCTTGAATATTTTTCGTATCTTTTTATTTTTAAAGTTATTTTCAAAAATACGTTTTTTCAATCAGAACATAATATTTTCAAAAATATGCATTCTAAACCGCTTAAACTTGTATAATATATTGTTAGCACGTAAAAAATGTAAATTGTAGAAGGATTACCTTTAATTTTAAATGTCGTAAAAAATTCGTCAGTGTTTGTACTGACTTTTTTCCGAAAAAGCGAATTAACATTTTTATTTTGATCATAACTGTGTTGTTTTTTATGCTAATGACTGAAAGTCAAGTTCATTTTAAAGATTTTTTAAAGTAGGTACTTTAAAAAATGTTCTGTTAATTTTTATTGAAAAATAGATTTTTTTTAGTTATTTTACGTTAAATGCTGCCAATTTTGTTTCTGGTAGACATGAAATTATCTTTAACCAGCCGTACGTCAGCACTTACATATATGAAGATTCAATCTTCTGCTTTTTCTATAAGCTTCATTTTCTTCGAGATGTGTTTTTCTTAGAATGTCTGTTTTTCGAGTTATTCGAGGAAAACTACCGAAAAACGTCTTTTTTTTAATAGAAAATGTACATTTTCAATCACCAATATCTCAGAAAATATTGACTTATCGGAAAATGTTCATGGGATACTTTTTGCTTAAAATTGATTGCTTTATCGATTGCTGGTTATTTTCAATATTTTATTTTGCACCCGCTAGAAGGGGTGTAGAAAAGCGCTCATCGGCACTATATAACTTTTGTTTCTTGGTTCCCTGGACTATTGCAGTAGACTTTTTTTCATGTACGATCAAAGCTTACGCTTGAATCTCCTACTTAGGAGCTTAGATGTCTTCAAAACAAAACCGATTTCATTCGCAGACCCCGGACATGACTCACTAGATGCTTATTATTAATATTTTTAAGCAGTTTTCCAAAGAACTTCTCCGTAAATAGCAGCAATCGAAATCCTTATTTGTTGCAGCGCCTTACCTACGACCTACCAATCTTTTAGGTATGTCTGGCTGTGCATACGCATTGTTTCCAATGCCAATTAAAGTTACCGGAGTTACGTAAGTGCCTCAAGGTTTATCTTCTTTTTTTTCCGCGGTTCTAATTAGTCATCTTTAGTAGGCGCTGGCGCAAATCAAGACCGACGTAGCCTCCCGTGATTTTAAAGTGGCGAGTTCGCCCGGCAATAATGGGTAATAATGATGATTAACGGCCGTTCGCGTAATTACCTACTAATTTTTTTG